AAACCAGAAAATAAATAATGTGGTTTAATTTAATTTAGATTCGTTGCAACTTTCTTATTCTTTTTATTTTTTGTGTCTTTCAATTTACGATGACATCGATAAAACCCACACTTTAATTGGAAACCATAACACGCCACATTAAACGGTTAAAGTCTTCTATAAAAGAAGAAAATCGAGACCGGAGGAAAACATAGACGAGTTTTTTTGCTTTAACCCGACCACAATTAGAAGGTGTAATTAAAAGCGTTTCTTTGATTATATAAGTAAACGAAATCGAATAAATTCCCCAGTATCATCCCCACAAATCATCCTTAAAATCCATTAAGGAGTAATAAATCGTGATGAATTTAATTATTACGTAACTCGAAGCGTTTATTATTGGGTAATTACAAAGGTGTAAGACGAAGAAGAGATGAGAAAAGAGTTATGGTTGGTACCTCGACGTAAATGGTAAATTCGCGGCTTCCAGGTCACGAAGAAGACAAAGTTCTTTGTTTCGAATGTATCTCACGAGATCGTAAATCTAGCTTCCTCCTTTTAGGAAACGCAAAATAAGGTTTAAATTTGATTCTCTTTTAATATTGAACCTTTAACCTTTCAAAGAATTAACGAGATGCTCTTCTTTCATACTGGAACTCGTACTCTCAAAGTTGTGTTACGTAAATAATGAGTTTAAATTTTTTGAGGCTTAATTGAAGTTGACTTTCTAAGATTTTGTTATAACAATTGTGTAACTTAAAAAATCGCTTAAGATTTAGATAGGTACGGATTGAAAGAAGTTATCTCGTACGATTTAGCGAGGAAGTGAATATGGTCTTTCTTGGCAACAACAGGAAGAAGAAGAAATAGACGTTGTCGGCGTGGAGAGTCTCGTCTTCACATTTTTTCCGCCCAACAGACTTCCTGTCCAATAGAGTTAAAGTCGTTCGCGTTGACGAGTAGTAAGTAGAAGAAGTTGCGAGAATAACTTTCTATAGCTTCGCGATTCACGGTTGGCGGAAGTGAATTTTACTTTACGGTGAACTATGATCTTTTACTCTTGGTCAGTACTTTCATTGAACGAAGGAAAGAGTAATGATTTTTTTATTTAGAAAATGTATCTAATTTAAAAAAGGATTCCTTTTAGTGATGTCATCAAAAACTAATGCGATAAGTGAAATTGCAATTTCCCATCATCTAACTCGTACTAAGTGACTAAGTAAAAGCGGTGTCGCCTCTTGTTTTAGCGTTTTAAGCATTCGATGTCCTTTGCAAATTAACATAGACAACGAACGACGATGTTTTTCTTTTTTTAATTTAACAGGAAGTGAAAATTCTGCACACAACACACATACACATAAAAAAAATTTCTCAACTAATAAATTCCCATCTAATTAAAAAAATAAATTAATTAACTCAATAAACAATTAAGATCCGTTAGAAATGATGAAATGAAATATTTCTTAACCGAAATAAAACAATAAATAAATAATAATAAACAATTAGAAATGAAATGAAATACTCTTCTTCTTCCTGGATTTTATATCAGATTAAATTAAAACTAAAAAGAATAAACAGAAAGAAGGAAACTCGAAAGTCCTCTCAAGAACCGATCGAGTCATAGTTCATATAATGTATAATGGGAACCATATAGCTCCGGTAAAAGTCATTTTTCCCATATAGAAGCGTGTATACGAACCGAAGTGAATGCCTAATAATCTCGCCTCTTCGCATCACTTTGGAGAAGACGACGCCAAAGAAAACTGCGGTGGGGAAAATTACTATTTAAGAACTTGAAGGCTCTTCAAGGAGCATCAGTTCGGTATTGTGCTAAGATGAAGCCGTTCTTGGTAAGTTGAAACACATTAAACGTTCGATTTCATTTATCCTGAAGATGATTCCAATCGATTAGAAACACTTTTTGACTTGTACCAAATTCATTTTTCTATCTTCTCTTAATTTTGAAACACCTCCATCTTTGTAGCAACTTTTATTATCATCCGAAATGTTTTGACAAAATTTTGACACAACTTTTTGTATTTCCCAATATCTTTGCAACATCGTCAAAAAGATCAAAATCATTTTTTTAAATTATTTTATCGCGGTTAAATATCCTAAAAGTGTTTTTAACCAATTGCCACCATTTTGACACACTTCAAACACCTTTTTCCAATTTCTGGCACATTATAACCGTTCCATAAAAAGATTAAAATCAATGTGCTAATGTTTCAAAACATTTAGAACCATTTTGACTTTCACCAAATTCATTTTTTTAATTTTGAAACACCTCCAAAAAGTATTATAATATTCGTAGCAACGTTTATTATCATCCGAAATGTTTTTAATCGATTAGAACAATTTTGATACAACTTTTTGTATTTCCCAATATCTTTGCAACATCGTCAAAAAGATCAAAATTATTTTTTTAAACGCGTTCATCCTCGTTATGATGTTTCTAATCGATTAGACTTATTTTGATTAACACCAATCAACTTTTCCAATTTCCTTAAATTTTTGTAACATTTTCAAAACAGTTCAAAATCATTTTTTTAATTTATTTTATCGCGGTTAAATATCCTAAAAGTGTTTTTAACGAATTGCCACCATTTTGAAACACCTTTTTCCAATTTCTGGTACATTATAATCGTTCCAGAAAAAGATTAAAATCAATGTGCTAATGTTTCAAAACATTTTAAACCATTTTGACTTTCACCAAATTCATTCTTTTAATTTTGAAATACCTCCAAAAAGCACTATAATCTAGAAACTTTTATTATCATCCTAATTATTCTCAAATTGTCAAAAAATCATTTCTTTGTAGTTAAGTATTTTATATATTTGAAGAAGATATATTAACTTCCTTCTACAGGGCACAGGATTAATTTTGTGAACCCCACTGTTCTTTACTTAAAAAAACCCATACCAAGGACACATCTTCATTCCTATTAACTTTGAAACCTTCTGATTCATCTTTTCCCATATTTTAAATCCTTGTAGAGTTTTTTTTTTCATCTTTTAACATAATATTCATTACTCGTCCTTATCAAATAACAAGAAAATCGATTTTTGGCAAAGACCAATCAGCTCGTTCCACTTCTTTGTACTTAAAAACATTTTCAAGAAATCATATTTTTGATTATTTCATATTGGCTAAATATCCTAGAGATGTTTTTAACAAGTTAGAACAATTTTGACACACACCTATAAGGTTTTCTCATCTTTTGAAATATTTGTAAGTAATCTAAAACTGTTTTCAATCGATTTGAACCATTTTGACAAACACCAATCAGCTTTGGGTAACTTTGGGACATTTTCTAAAAACATCAAAATCAATTTCTTTGGTTGTTTCATCCAGGTTAAGTATCCTAGTGATGTTTTTAGTAAGATAAAGCAATTTTACCACACACCAATAAGCTTTTCTCATTTGGAGATTTTGGAAAACATCTCATTGAGATTTTAATTTTTTCTAGTTCCTTCTACAATTAAATTTTTTTATTTCAATCATCCTTTCTCCTATTTTCTATAATTATTGAAACTTTTCGAGAACATCTCCATTAAATTCTAACTTTGTTCGTGTTTATCAAGTGACCAGGAATTGATTTGAGCCATTTAGACAAACACCAATCAACTTTTTCTATTTTTTTCTTGTTCCTTTTTCTTAAAAACCAATTCTGTTCACTATTTCATCCTAGTTAAGTATCCTAGAGGTGTTTTTAATAAGTTACAAAGATTTTGACACACACCAATAAGCTTTTCCCATCTACTAAAATATTTCAATTTGGTTTCTTTCATCTCTTTCCACTTCTTTATACTTAAAAACATTTCCAAAAAACACCAAAATCAATTAATTGATTATTTCATATTGGTTAAGTATCCTAGAGATGTTTTTATCAAGTTAGAACAATTTTGACACCATTAAGCCATATTTTGAAACATTTCAACCTTTTGCAAAACATCCCTACAAGTTTTTCTAACGCCTTTCGTCTTTATCAAGTAATCTAAAAGTGTTTTCAATCGATTTGAACCATTTTGAATCAACTTTTTCAGTTTTTTGTACATTTTCCAAAAACATCAAAATCAACTTATTTGATTATTTCACTTAGGTTAAGTATTCTAGTGATGTTTTTAATAAAATAGAGCAATTTTGCCACACACCAATAAGCTTTTCCCATACTTTAAAACATTTGGAGCTTTTGGAAAACATCCCATTAGGTTTTCTAACTTATCAAGGTCGAAATCGATTTCCTCTATCTTTGGAACACCTTCAAAAATAATCACAATTAAATTGTATTAAAAAGTATCATGGCGATTCTTCTTCTATTTTCTCTAATTATTGAAACTTTTCGAGAACATCTCTATTAATTATTCTAACTTCGTCCGTGTTTATCAAGTTATTTAAGTATCCTAGAGATGTTCTTAAAAAGTTGCAACGATTTTGACACACACCAAAAAGCTTTTTCCACCTATTAAAATATTTGAAGCTTTTGCAAAGCAACCCCATTTATTCCCATTAACTTTTCTGATTTCTTTCGTCTCTATAAAGTAGTTATAAAACCTTTAAAGTCGATTTGAGCTATTTTGAGATATTTTTAGTCGTTTTGACGCACACCTACTCACTTTGAAACTTTATCAAACACTTTCAAAAAGTATAAAATTGATTCTATTAAGTCTCCTGAAGTACCATAGAGACGTTTTAAATCGATTAGATCCATTTTGACTTTCACCAATTCATTTTTTTTATTCACTACTTACTTTAAAACTTTATCAAACTCTTTCAAAAAGCTTTAAATTAATTTTATTAATTCTCCCGTTTCTCGTAAAGTATCAAAGAGATGTTTTAAATCGATTAGAATCATTTTGATTCACACCAATTCACTTTCTCTATTTCCTCCTAACTTTGAAACGGTATCAAGCACTCCCAAACGAACATCAAATTAATGTTATTAACTCCCCCGTTCTCCTGAAGTATCATAGAGCTGTTTTAAGTCAATCAGAACCATTTTGTCTCACACTAATCAATTTTTTTTATTTTTGTAACATTACATTTTAATACATTTCAGCTCTTAACAAGTCTTGTGGCTCTTGCCACTGCCAAACCTGAAGCTGGTTATAGCTATTCGCCTCCATCTAGCTCGTATGGAGCTCCATCTGGAGGCGGAGGGGGTGGTTTTGGATCATCCGGAGGAGGCGGTGGATTTGGAGGCCATGGTGGAGGAGGCGGCGGATTTGGAGGAGGAGGTGGTGGATTTGGAGGCGGTGGTGGAGGTAAATTTCTCAATATATTATAAATTTTAATTAAAAAAAATAATTTCTCCTTTTAGGATTTGGAGGTGGAGGTGGATTAGGGGGTGGATTAGGAGGTGGATTCGGAGGCGGTGGTGGAGGAGGAGGCGGATTCGGAGGAGGTAAATACCTTTACATACTTTGTATATTGTAATTAATTTAATTATGTTTCATTTCTATTTGTAGGTGGTGGATTCGGAGGTGGAGGTGGCGGCGGAGGTGGATTCGGGGGTGGTTTCGGAGGTGGATTCGGAGGAGGCGGTGGAACCACAGTCCAAAAGCACATTTACGTTCACGTCCCGCCACCAGAACCCGAAGAATTCCGACCACAAAGACCCATCATAACCGGCCAAGCTCAAAAACATTACAAAATCATCTTCATTAAAGCCCCATCTCCGCCAACTCCAACCGCTCCCGTTATCCCAGTTCAACCACAAAACGAAGAGAAAACATTGGTTTACGTCTTGGTTAAGAAACCGGATGAGGCGCCAGAAATCAACATCCCAACTCCAGCTCCAACTCAACCAAGCAAACCGGAAGTTTACTTCATCAGATACAGAACTCAGGTGAGCAATTAAGAAAAAAGAAAATCAATTTGCCAATTTCGATTAAGCCAATAGAAATTTATATTTATTTAACCCACAAACAAAGTCAACTTTTTTATCACATAGATTGACAATTAGAAAACGAAACTTTCTTATTCTCATCTTCGATTTATAAATAATTTTTTTTGCGAAATAAGAACGGTGACCTTTTCGCGGGTTCACCGTTAGGTGGCGTACTCGAAGATTCAAAAACATCTGTTTGCGCACTTTCACTACTTGCGCTAATAATAATACAAGAAAACGATTGCTTAGAAAATTGAAACGGACGCGCGAAACGACCACATGAGGAAAGTTCTTTCGCGGCCCCCTTTCGACCGTAATCATTTTTTAACGGCCCTCTTTTGTTTCCAAACGATCGTAGCCAACGCTTTTTTGTGATGTTACCTTTACTTAATAGAAAGTAATTGTAAAATAATCGTTTATATCATTTCTGTTTTTGCGTCACTTTCATATTCCCACACGTCTTTTTATTTTACTTCATTCAAATTCTTCTAAAAGGAAATTCCATTGTTTCGGACAAATTGGGCCATTCTCAGGGTTTCTTTCCTCTTATTATGTCATGTTATCTTTAAATTTATGAACTTTGTTTAAGCAGACAAGCGGAGGAGGAGGTGGTGGTGGAGGATTTGGAGGAGGAGGTGGTGGTGGATTTGGAGGAGGAGCTGGAGGTGGATTTGGAGGTGGCGCTGGAGGTGGATTCGGTGGAGGAGCTGGAGGTGGATTTGGAGGAGGCGGAGGTAAGTTACCCAATTAATAAAAAAAATAATTTCTTTATACAAATTAATTAAAATTAGGCGATGGAATTGGAGGAGGAATTGGGGGTGGAATTGGAGGAGGAATCGGAGGTGGAATTGGAGGTGGAATCGGGGGAGGTCACGGAGGTGGAATTGGCGGCGGAATTGGAGGAGGACATGGCGGTGGTGGTGGAACTGGAGGAGGCGTATCCGGAAGTTATGGCCCCCCAGCTAAAACGGGTGGACCTTATTAAGCAGCAAAACGTCAACATCTTCAGTTGTTTTGCAGCCATCTTTATTGTTATTCTCGATATTTATCATAGCCAACTCTGTAAATATCCAAAAAAGGATTTAATAGAGAGGATTCGGTGAGGATAGCTGCAAAGTACAACTAAGGCGTTTTTTAGAAAAAAATCGTATTAAAAAATAGCCAAAAAAAGGAATAAGCATCGAAATGACCTCGTGTGATGTAACAAAGTATACTCTTCATCTCTGCACCACCACGGCATCGCTCACCCCCACCAACCCCGCCACAATCTCCACAGTGTATATATTTGTGCAATACGTCTCATTAATCGTTTATTATTATTTTTTTAAAATGAATAGTTTATAAAAAATGTTTTTGTTTGTATATTACATACATGTAATTTGCTACAGAAGCTAAATCTCGTGTTATTTTTACTATTTTTATTATTAACTTTTTATAATAATTTAATCGCGAAAAATACGGTGACAAATAAATGTATTTTTTTATTTAAATCAATTTCTCACTAAATCGGAAGTTTTCTGTGTAAATGCTTTTGAACCCAATCTTTCATTTGGGTAACCGCAAGCCCTCCGAGAATAATCTGAGTCGGATGATAAACCAAAAGCGGTAAACTTATCAAACTTAAATGCGAATAACCATGGAACATAACCCGAAGGATTGGAATGCCTAAAACATCACAACGTCATAAACCAAAAATTAAATCAAAAGAACCCACCTAAAGTTAGCGATTTATGCGTGGAACAAAACGTAACCGCCACAACATCACTCGGAGTAAAATATTTATTAAAGCGAGTCGCAATCGAGAAAGAAATCAACATAAAAGCCATTTGAATTAAAATCACTAAAATTAAAACAAACTCATTAAAAGTATTAACCCTTAAGTGTCGAAGACGTGCGGTCTTTATGATCGCTTCACATTTTTAGTCGTTGAAGGAAATAAAAAAATATATTATAATAATATAAACAAAGTGGATATTTGTGAGAAAATACAGTGTGTTAATTAATTATCGCACGCGACGTCATCATTGCAAGTATGCAACCAATATCACAGTGCAATACGTATCATACGCAAATCGCGTATTGCAATAAAAATGCTGTCATATTGGTTGCATACTTACAATGATGACGTGTGGTACGATAATTAATTAACACACTGTACAGTAATAACAAAAAATTGCATAAAAAAGAAATGACAAATCGCATAAATTTAGTTCAAATACTCAGAAAATTCATTCTAAATCGTCAAGCAATTGTTCATTCTTTTCACGTCTTCCCTCCAGTGTGTAGGCGATTTTCTCTACTTCGTCTGTCCACTCAAGCAACCGTTTTGTCCACTGCTCATTCTTTAATCGCACGACATGATCCAGTTCTACTTGCGCTTTGCCACAATGTTATCCACATCATTTACGCCAGTTCTTCTTCATAGGTCTTAATTTCATATGTGCTGCCTCGGGGTTACACCCAGCATTGACCTCTCCATCTATCTTTGCGTTACTTTGAGCCTTCTGGCAGTGGCTACTGTTGATGTTAAAGTTTCGAAGGCGTATGTCATAACCGAAAACACGTATTGATAGAAACCCTTTATTTGCAAATATATAGGAATATCGCTTTTGAAGATGTCTCTAAGTTTCCCGTAGGCTGTCCATGCGAGTATGTTTATTTAGCTTGTTGTAACAAACCGCCCTGTATAATTAAATTACGTTTTGTATAATTATTTTGCTTAAGTCAGCTTTATCGCGTGAGGCGGAAAAGCTTCTAAATATGCGGGTGGGTTGTCTTGAGTAATTTGCGAGAGAAATCGAATTCTCCTTTCGAAATTGTGCTCATAAAGCATCCGAATCCTGGCAGAAGAGCGAATTAAACCTTATATTTAGTTAGCTAAATTCACTGGAAAGTCGATTGTTACTAATTGAAATTATTGTTCAAGATTGAATTGGTATTTTCTCTAAATAGATAAATGTGTTTTTTTTTCTTTAATATTTTAACTTAATTTTCTCGTTTGTTTTACCTTTCTATTTTTTTTATATACAGGTGTCCCACCTAAGTTGCCTCGATCCATAGCCGAATTATGATTGAGTTTATCAAAAAATGTTTCAGATAGAAGCGAAGAATCATATTGTGCATATTTTAAAATTAGTTTCAGTAATGGTGGACTTCCGCTTCTACCGGAAATGGATATCAACTTTGTTATTTTAAATGGAACACTCTGTATATTATTGCATTTTTGGATTCTTTGTGAAATTTGCGTGGAACACTAATGACAGTTCTAATGCATGGAACATTAATGACAGTTTACCTAGTTTATTTTCCAAGCCTACTTCAACTTTTAATAATAACATCTTCCATTTTACCAGTCCTAAGCCTACTTCGCAATACATATCTATCGTAAATAACTGAAAAATCGGGAATATCTCCAAAACCGTTGGAGATAGACACCATGATACCTGTATAAAACTGAAAGGAATTTAAATTTTACATCCAGTTATGCAAAAACTGGTATATTGTTCCATTTAAAAAAATTAAGTTATCCATGATTAAAATGTTCGAAAATTACAGATCCCTACTTAAGAACTCCGTAATATAAATCTTTTATTATTAATCCAAAACAGAAAACCAAATCTTTCTAGCTTTCACAGTTTCGGCAATATTGCCAAATTTATAAAATGTCATTTTTCTCGAAAATCGTCATATAATTCAAAAGCGATACCAGTCACACAGAATCCAAAACATGCAATATACAGGAAAAACTCAATCATAATTCGGCTATGGACCGAGGCAACTTAGGTGGGACACCGGTATATATGTTATTTCTCTTAATTTAATATACAGGTGTCTCACGTAACTGGTTCGTTAGAACTTTTTCAGGTTTCACTATTCGTAGAGATTTGAAAATTTTGGTAGCATGGGTTGTTCATTCGGAACTTTCGATCTAAAATATTTTCAAGATGGCCGCCACTTCCGGTCTACCGGAAGTAGACTTCGTTATTTTAAATGGAATGCTATAGTTTTTATTGCACCTTTTAATTGTACGTAAAAAAATATGAGGACTTTCATAAAAGTTATTGGTACCTAGCGTTTTTCGTTTTCAAGTTATTTTGCTTTTAAGTTTTTTTTGGTAAATTTCAACATGCTCTTTAAAACTCCATATTTGATCCAACGTTCATTCAAAAAAGATCTACGTTGACACGATTACTCTTCAGATGTTGTCAAATAGATTGTCATTTGTTGTATCGGAGTATCTTATACAGCCTGGTCAAAAATTGAATTACTGTTTCTCCATAATCAATGGCGAGAAAGTCGAAAATTTTAAATGGAACGCCCCATATTTTTTTAGCCTATCGGAAAGAGAATTTAATTCTCTACAAATTATCCATAAATATTCCCATACCTATTTATTGTAGTTTGTCTCATATTGCGAAATTTATTAAATATGGAGAAACGGTAATTCAATTTTTGACTATCCTGTATAAGATACTCTGATACAATATATGACAATCTATTTGAAAGCATCTGAAGAGTAATCGTGCCAATTTAGAGCTTTTTTGAATGAACGTTGGTTGGGATATAAGGTTTTAAAGAGCATGGTAAAATTTGTCAAAAAACCCTTAAAATCAAAATAACTCGAAAACGAAAAAACAAAAAACAGTACGTTTAAACAGTTCCCGTGCGGTTATTATAAACATTTCGAACAAATTTTATTAGAAAGATCGGTTCAGAATAATGTGTCCTACAACCGTATAACGCTCTGATACGGAAGATACGGGACACACATATCCAGGAAATGTACCCTTGAAAATAAATATCCGGGTATTTAACAACACTGCTCATGACACCTTGACGCGACTGATTGGTAATTGTAGAACCTATGGCCAGTTTGTTGGAAAGCACAAATGGGTTAAACCAATCATAGGTGCTGGCTAGGGACAACAGATATCACCAGCGACTGGAAAGAGAAGCCATAGAGATCCACCGACATAGAAATAACATTAACAGAGAGGATGGCTGGGAGCTTAGCAGAACATGGAAGATGGTGGTGAACACGAAGACCTTCTCCTGCCTCACACCGGGCGCGACGCAATTAGTTAATAATTAGCTTTAGTTGATTATTAATTAGCTTTCCGACTTATACATTGTTCCCGATTTTCGATTTCGTCACTTCGAACCAGTTTCTGAAGAAGCTTGCAACATGGCATCCGAAACGTCAAACCTTTTCTTAAAAGACGCACGGCAACACCCGAAAGTTTCTAGTGTTAGTTTTAGTTCAATTAACTCCGGCCGTGAAAACCTTCGTACTTATAGAAATCAACATCTCATCAACACAGATGGTGGTACCTAGTTAGTGTATAAACTTTTTGGGAGTTTTTTATCACAAGATGAAATAATTCAGAGATAGGTGGATCATTTACTCGTCTCAAATCCCGATCTTCGGGATTATCAAATCGCAAACACGCAAATCGCTTCTGACTTATAACACAACGAAATATATCTCGTCCAGTTCCGTCTGCAGCAAAAATTCTTTTTATGTTTTCGTGATTCGTGTTGAATACCGCGGTGTATAAAAGCATATCTAAGAAAGCTTGCAACTCGATGATATCAATATCTTGTAGGTCAGGCTTGTTGAGATTCTTGTAATTTTGGGTACTACTGCTTATCTTTACATTAGTCCCGTGAGGTACACTGTTGGAAATAATTCACGAGCACAGCCTGTATAATCTGAACGCGTGTGTCTAGCTAAATAAAATTTGGTATGGAAGTAATACTAAAGTAATGTAACTTACTCTCACATGGAGAGCGGCACAACTCTGCTGGGAGGAGAAACATCAATAGCGAAAGTATCCCCCGTGAGTTTCGCGTACCATCGCTACACGACGTAGCATGGAGTCGATATGTCGTTGTATTGTAGCGAGAGGGATGGCCAACCATAGCTCCTCCACGTTAGCCGGGGAACCCCGATAACGTTGAAGTCTCCGACCAGTCATGTCCCAAACATGTTCGATCGGATTCAAATCCGGAAAACGAGCTGACCATGGAAGCATTCTTATACGGTGCTCTTCCACAAAGGTCTGTACAACACGCCTGATGTGCGGTCGGACGTTGTCGTGCATGTATAGCAGACCTGGGCACCGCCGAACGTAGGGAAGCACAACGGACTGTAGCACCTCATCTACGTATCGTTAACCCGTCATGGACCGCTCGAGACGACGCGCAATTTCACGGAACGATACACCCTCAATGTGCATACCTACAAACATTCCTCGCTCAAACTCGCTTAAGTAACGCGATCGCCCATCCATTGCGCACAGAGTACGATAACAATGTGGTCCCTCACACCACACTAAAAACGACCGGTATTTTCCACCCACTTCGGTCTCCATAGCGACGGAATGTTCCACTCGGAAGGGCGGCTCAGTCAACAATGCCGCGACGGAACAACTCAAAACTCCCTGAATAAACTCGTCTACAGTAAACCTTTGTGCTCCGCAAATATTATGGATTTATCTTCACGTGTTCAGATTATACCGGGTGTCCCTCAAAAGTGACTCACCCCCATATTTTTTTTTTTATTATTAGTGATATAAGAAAACCATTTGGAATGCATAATTAGGCCGTTAAAACGGATTATTACGACAGGAAATCATTTTCTTTGTGCTTCCGATTATACCGGAAGTGAGTACTAATTTCGCAATTTTTTTAAATCTATAATTTTTTTTTCTTCAGTTGGGCAGACAGCATAATTTCACATAACTTTTACATGAAAAAATTTTCACGATCGCTTATAATTTTTGAAAAAAAAATTATTTTCATTATTTTTTAACGTTGCTGTTTTTTAACTGCTCGAGCAATAGCAAATCAAGAGGAGCATAACGTAGTTTATACTATTAACCTAGCTACTATGCGTCAAAAGTAGTAATACATTTTCCGAAGATACTAAAATGTTGAAAAGCAACGAAAATAACTTTTTTTTTTTTTAATTATAAGCGATCGTGAAAATTTTTTCAAGTAAAAATTATGTGAAATTATGCTGTCTACTCAACTGAAAAAAAAAAATTTATAGATTTAAAAAAATAGCGATATTAGTACTCACATCCGGTATAACCGGAACTACAAAGAGTATGATTTCATGTCGTAATAATCCGTTCTAACGGCTTAATTATGCACTCCAAATGGTTTCCATATATCACTAATAATAAAAAAAAATATGGATGTGAGCCACTTCTGAGGGACACCCAGTATAGGGTGTGCTCGTGAATTATTACCAACAGTAATCTAGTGCTGAGGGCCACACACCTGGCAGCTTCACAGTAATATTATGATGTCGTGTTCGAGACCGATTGTGGGGTGTTTCACTACACCATTAGTATATTTTCTAGTTTTGTGATTCACTGTCTGTTGTAGACTCACTGGTGTCTTGCTCCATATTTACACCATCCTGACCATCATTCTCATTTTCTGTAGTAGACAATTCAGAATTATCTATATCACTATTTTCGCTGTTGAACAAGAACAAAACGATACGATTTCCCCCTTCCACTTGTTCTCAGTGGCGTCCTGGAAAACAAGTTGGCGGCGTCAAGTTAACTCGCCTCCGACTTGTTTTATAGGACGCCACTGAGAACAAGTGGAGGGGGAGATCGTATTGTTACAAAATAACATTGATGTCGATTCGTTTGATGTTGGCGGCACTCAAGGTTTATATATTAAAGGTTGTCTAAGTTCCTATGCTGCAATACTTTGATTTTAGTTTGTGGGCGAGGGGCAAGAGCAGGAGTGTTTCGTGACGTAAGCGATCACGGATTGCGCACGCAACCTCATGGCCATGTGGTGCTCCATGCCTTTGTTTAATTTGAATTGCTTGGCGGTATTATTTTCCACATGTGACGTAATGCGCAGTATGATTGCGTACGAACCTAGACAACCTCTTATATATAAACCTTGGGCGGCACTTCGATTTAAAATCAGCCATCTTATTGTGAGTTACCAAAATACAGAATAACCAGAAGTGACACTGGCCAAATTTTTACCACCAATAGCAGCATCCTTTGGCAACTCGCTATAATATGGCGTCAGATTTGGCGGGATATCGCCAGTTTGGGTTATTTAAAATAACGAAGCGATCATTATGACCGCATGTCACTACTTAAGGGTTAATTAAAAGAATTTCGTACCTAAAAGAACCGTAATAAGAACATCAGAAGCTGATAAACCTAACTCTGGAGTTGAAAAT